GGCATCCAAAATAATAGACACTTCTCAGATGAAGAAGTAAAAACAAAAAATAAATACATGAGAAAAATGTTCGACATCACTAGTCATTGGAGATACACAAATTGAAACAACTCAGATTTCATCTCACTCCAGAAAGAATGACCATCACTAAGAAATCAACCAATAACAAATACTGGTGAGGCTGTGGGGAAACAGGAACCCTTCCTTCTCCATTGTTGATGGGAGTGTTCAACTGGTATAACCATTATGGAATTCAGGTTAAAACTAGAGGTTCCATTTCACCCACCTATTTCATTTCTAGGTATATTCCCAAAAGAGTTAAAGTCATCATTTCACAGTTATTCGTACATACCCATTTCACAGCAGGACACTTTACGATAGTTACATCTTGGAAACAGCCCATATGCTCTATTATTGCTTGTGTTTAGATGTTGCCCCAAAGCCTCATGGAAATGAGGTGGGGCTATTTTGGAGGTAACTGAATCTAGAGTGTGTTATTCATGGTGCAGTGGTAGTGCTAGGCCTAAGAGCACTCAGATTCAGAGTTTGAGTGCTACCCACTCTAAGTGGTCTGCATAAAGATGCTGTTGAGTGCCCCTCCCCCTTGTTGCTTTTGCTGTCTTCTGCCTCCATGAATTCTTGCCGCTCTGCCTTGGAGCCAGCTGGTTATGGACCAAACTCTGTACAAACTGTGCGCTAAATAAACCCTTTCCTCTTTAACTTTGGGTGTCGGGTATTTTTACACAGCAACAAGAGAGAAGTAACAGATGAAAATTTGGTACCAGAGAAGTAAGGTCATTGCTGGGAGATTACCTACCTGGCTTGTGGGAAGGGGAAAAGTTAGGAAAGTTTCAAAGATGCTGGCTGAAGAAATAGAGCTGGAATGCCTTAGGCTGTACTGTATGAGAGATTCTGGTCAGAGGTCAGAAGCCCAGAAAGCTGATAAAGACCAGGCTGTTTCTGCTGGGAAGGACTGCATTGGCTGTTGCACTCCAGACATTTGCTTTATGGCTTGGCAGAAAATTTGTTTCATTTTGCTCATGTCCAGAGACTTTGCCTGAGATTGAGATTAAGGGCAGCAGACTAATTAATCTGGCAGAAGAAATTTTAAGGCAGTAGAATGTTGAGGCAGTGGCATGGCTACTGTTGGGGGCTTTGAGCCAGATTTATGTTGAGAATGAAGAGCAAAGAGCCCAGCAGAATTATTTAAAACATTCTGATTTTGGCCAGAAAGGAAACCAGTAGAGTTGTGCTCTGCAAAGATAGAACAGAGGAGATCTTGATTGCTGAGAAGAAACAGGAAAATAGAAAAGATGGCCTGAGCACATCAAAAGAAGCAGCAGGACTCCACCCTTTGCAGCCTCTAAATTGAAAAAGTGAAAGACTGCTTTGAAAAGAGAGTCTCAGAGCACCCTGTTCCAAAGTGGCAGTGGTCTAGGGAAGCTGTTCTTTGGGATTTGGTTCATAGGCCCTGGATCCCTACAGCCAAGAGAGAAGGAAGTCTGCCTACTGCTCCATCTGGCAGCAGACTTGATGTTATCCACCTGATGCTGGCTTTAGGCACATGCAGAATGCAACAATTGTGGGGTCAAAAAGGCTTCAACCCAGATTTCAGAAAATGGCCTGGGAGGCCAGGCAGTGTGCCCCTGAGAGAGCAATGTGTGAAGTGTGAGTATGAAACTAAAGGTGCACTGGAGACCCCAGAATATTGGAGAAACCAGGAATGTGAATTATCTGAGAAAAACTGCAAAGGAACAGAATCAGCCTAAGAGGGAAATAACGGGAGCTGTAACTGCTGACAGTGCCATATGGGCAGAGCCATCCAGCCCTTTGGAGTCCATGACTTGCCACACACTGCTAGGGATGCTGAAAGTGAAACTGTAGGATTTAATGTTGGCCCTGCTGGATTTTGGTCTTGCTTTGTTCCCATTACTTTGTATCCTTCTGTTTGTAACTTCTGGAATGGAAATGTCTGTTGTGTTCCACTGTATGCTAGAAGTGTTTAACTTTCATTTGTACAGCGTCTTACACCTAAGAGTTTGCCTTAAATCTCAGAGGAGACTTTGGATTTGGATTTTTCAGCAGTGTTGAAACTGTTAGTACTTTGGCAACTTTTAGAGATGGATGGGATGTCTTTTATATGAAGGGGTGTGCGTGAGTCTTGTGGGGTCAGGGATAGAATGTTATGCTTGTGTTTAGATGTCCCCTACAGCCTCATGTACATGAGGTGGGGCTGTTTTGCAGGTGGATGAATCTAGAGTGTGTGATTCATGGTGCAATTCCTGAGTGGTAGGCCTGAGAGCACTAGGATTAAGGGTGTGAGTGCTACCCACCCGCAAATAGCCTGATGAGATAAAAGGAGCAGAAAGACACTGTTAAGGTCTCTTGTTGCTTTTGCTGTTTTCCACTGCCATGCACTATTGCCCCACTGCCATGTGCCCCTCATCCTGTGGCCATCCATTTATGGAATGAAACCTTTTCTCATTGTGGCTATGGCATTAAAACTGGTTTTGTCTTCTGAAATAGTAAATTTGTTCTTGCACACTGAGTACATTCAAAAATTCAAAATTGCATTCAAAATGTCACCTGTCCACCATACCCAATGCTCGAACTGTTCTGCACCAGGCGTTCATGTTAAAATCTTTTTTATTTTAAATATATGATGGAAAAGAAGTGTTTTTAACTTCTATGATTGGTGACTTTAGGGTAACACAAACAGAATTGCATGTCAGTATGTCCTCTCTCGAGGTGCTTTATGACTGCTTCTCACTGATGGAATGATGTCCACATTTTCCTCAGGACCACAAGCACTTGGTGAGGCAACGTGTTACATCAGTACTTGCTTTGCTTTGTAATGGGAGAGTGAAAGTTAATTTAAAGCGATTGTTCATTTAGAGTTAATTCCTATTAACCCATATGGTGTTCTTCTGATTTCCATCCCCTTTCCTATTTTACTACCCAGAAAAAAGCACATTGCTAATCTCATCATGGTCCACTATTATATTATGTCTTTTTATGTAGGGGTCAGTGAGAGTCAAGTTTTTGCCTTGGGTGTTCAGAATTCTATTGGTGAAGAACTATATACCACAGCTTTCACTCTGGGAAGGTTAGCAAAGGTCTCTTGCAGTCGTCATAATCTATGATACTTCAGCAGAAACTGCTTAAAATATTCTCCATAAAAGTAAATGGGTTGTTTCTGCAGTTGTTTTGCATTTCACTGTAAGGATAATGGGCTTTCTGCTTTTCTTAGAGGTTAGCCCTTTAAGGTAGCCTGAGACAACATGTCCTGTGGTTTGAAGGTGAGCTGTGAGGATGAGACTAATTGACCTGCGGCAGTTTACAAAGACAATTTTATCACCTGAGTATGCACCATCTTTTTCTCTGGATAATTATTTATTACATCTTGCTTGATCCCTATATTTTGATGGGTCTCAACATTGGCTCAAGAATGCTGTTAATATTTATTCTGTATTGATAAAAGTGTGTCTTGCCACTACGAGTAAATACCCCGATTAATATTTTCTTCTCTAGCATACATAGCACTATCATTTTTTTTGTGAAATTGGTTATCTGTTTATTTATTAAAATACTGAGTCATATATAAATTTTCAATAAAAGCAGAAACTTTCTTACCTTAAAAAAAAAAAGTAAATGGGTTGCCAGGCGTGACGCGCATGCCAGTAATCCCAGTACTCTGGAGGCTGAGGCAGGAGGATCACTATAAGCTCAAGTCCAGCCTGAACTCTACATAGCAAGACCCTGTCTCTAACAAAACAAAAAGTAAATGGGTTTTACAACCAAGGCAGTAAAATTTCTTTAAATGAGTTTGGTAAAATGCATACCCTCAAGAGTAGACTGGCTAAACATACAAATTTGGTAATAGTTGCAGTGGTCCATGCAGTTGATCCCATCTATTGAGAGGGATGGTGTGGGACGGTTTCCGGTTTGGGCCCAACCTGGCCAATTTAGCAAGACTCTGACTCATAATAAAGGGTGGGGATGTGTTTCAGTGTTATGGAGCCCCTAGTTCAGGCCCCAGTAACACACTTACATACATACAACACACACATGAGACTGGTTATTAGAACCAGGTTTGGTGTTGCACATCTTTAATCCCAGCACTCAGGAGGCTGAAGCAGGAGTATCATCAAGAGTTCAAGGCCAGCCTGAACTACAGTGAAACCCTGTCTCAAACAAACAAACAAAAATAGACCAGTTATTGATACTAATTTATAGCTGATAATTTTCCAATTTTTCTAACCATTATCATTTTTATCACTAAACAAGCACCTGCCTGGTACTGTATACTAAAGACAGTTTTCTCTTAAACTCTAGCAAAAAGAACTGCCATCATCTTGATCACTGTGGAAATATGCACAAAGTATGAGATTTATTATCCTTTTGAATAAGAGCAGTGGAAGTTTGTTTTTTTCTTGGATTTGTTGGTTCCCTTAATGTTCACCTAGTTTTCCATTAGCTTCTCCTGTTTCTTACTTGGTTTCATTTCTGTGATTCTTTTATTTCCAGTGATATTTTATGGTAATTAACTATGATAAGCTTAAGTGATCATGATTTATTTTATAGAGTATTTTAATAATGTATGAGTGATTACCCAATTTTAACATTAAATATGTAATTTGGGCAGAAAATTTAAAGTGAAATTGCATCAAAACAAAGGGACACTGATTACTGTCCATTTTGAAAACTATGAAACAGTATTGGAAATATTCAAACTAGGATGGTAATTTTCTAATTCAGTTATTTGGTTCACGTTAATTTCTTATTGGATGGATGTTTAAGCAATAATTAACTTTGTTTCTACCTTATGGTTGAAATGTTAGACCATGAGAGCTTTTACTCACAACCACTCAACTTTGACAGCAGAATATTCATCTGGGGTGGTGTTTATGCTTAATCTGAGTTTAGAGTTAACATCAGAAAATGCCAAGCATATCCTGTGTAGAAAACATAAGCTTCCTGTCTTATTACCATGGTGACTCAAGTGAAGTAGGAGTGTTTTTGTATATCATCCTTGTGCAGGGGCCGTGTTAATTTTCTCTGTATTGTTCCAATTTTAGTATATGTGCTACCAAAGCGAGCACAGTAGAAGTGCCCCACTACCACCAGGGATCGAACCTCAGGATCGAATTGCACTTGTGAGGCAGGCACAGCGCCACTGAGCTAAACCCCTGGCCAGTCGGACTGTTTTTAATGCCATTCTGAACTGTAACATTGACAGGTAGATATCAGGATCTCAACTTGATACAGACTAGCATTTACCTGGCAGGCATCTCCCCCACCCCCACCCCCACCCCGCCCAGTACACAGATTGAACTCAGGACCATACTCTTTCACAGTGCTTCTGAGCCACATCCCTGGCCCTACCGGCAGATTTTTTTTTTTTTTTAGTTGAGTTTATTCCTGGCAGATTTTAAAAACTAACTGGTTTAATCCATAATAAAACATAGCTTCATTTAGCTTCATTTCAGTATTTACTTTATCTTTTTCCAGTCAACAGTGCTCCAATAAGGAATGATAAATAGTTAAGAATTACTAAAATTCTAAAAAATTATTCTTTGTTAGTTTCTAGGATCTTTAAATATTAGATTTCCTTTATCTTTCTCATCCATGGCAGCCAGAAAACAAAACAAACAAACAAAAAAGCAATCAAAATATTTTTCATGTTAAGTACAGGTTTATATGTTTGCTCTTCTTACCAGGAGTTGCTATACCTCATAGTTTAGAGTGTATTCTTTAGATCAGTAAGTTATACTGACATGTAATTGTACTTTACTGTGCAAGAAAAATTATTCAAGAAGAAAAATAATGTACAGTCTCTGTCTTTGTGTAGGCAATTGCTTATGTTATTCTACTTTTAACATTTGTACTTGAATAAACACATATGTCACAGTGCAAGATGCTGCTAGCTCAAGCAGAAAGTAGTAAAATTATTTTCTTAGAGGGACTGGGGATTTATCTCAGTGGCACTACACCTGTCTCACAAGCAAAATGTCCTGAGTTTGATCTCTGGTACTGCCAAAAGAAAAAAAAAATTTTTTTTCTGGATAAAGAAATCATCTAGAGTACCTGCAGATTGGTAAGAATAGGGCAGACAAATACCACTTTAAAATGCAAGTATTAAATTGATATCTGCTTATCTTTAATTGGCTATTAAATATATAAAAATTAACTTTGTTAGTCATCAAAGAAATGAAAATTAAATCCTAATTAGTAGCACTTGTATACATCCTAGTATAGCAAATGAAAAAGGAGAAAATATCAAATATTTGTAAAGAGGTGGAACAAAGGGAACTTGCTTGTACTGTTGGTGGGAGTGTAAATTTTAACAACTAGGTTGGACAACTAGATCTACTAAAATTGAACATAATTCCAGCACTCAGGAGGCTGAGGCAGGAGGGTGACATAAGTTTGAAGTCAGCCTGGGCTGCATAGTGAGTTTAAAGCCAGTATCCGTTACATATTGAGACGCTGTCTCAAAAAAAAAAAAAAAAAAAAAAAAAAAGAATCTCTGATAACCTATAACCCAGCAGTTTTTCTAGGTCTGGAGTGTACAGAAATGTGAATATATTCCCACTGAAGATATGTTCTAGAAAGTTAAAAGCAAGAGCATAACAGTTGTAAACTAGACACAATCCAAAGTTGATAGGCAATAAAACAGATTTGATCTGCAGTGAATACTACACAGCAATGAGCATGGATAGGTTAAACTTTGAAGGATTATCATAAGAATGTTGAATGAAAGAAGCCAGTCACAAAAGCGTATGTATTGTATGAGTTCATAAATGAAGTTTATGAACAGATAAAACTATTTCATGGTTTTAGAAATCAGAATGTTTATCCTTGGGGAGAAAACTGAGCTATAAGAGGACACTTAAAAGTTCTAGGTTTTTTTTATTTTATTTTATTTTTTGGTTTTTTGAGACAGGATCTCACTGTGTAGTTCAGACTGCCCTGGAACTCATTATGTAGCCCTCGAACTCACAGTGATCCTCCTGCCTCAGCCTCCTGAGTGCTGGGATTACAGGTGTGCACCACCAATCCTGGTTTAAAGTTCTAGCTTTTGATTGGCTTTTATTTTCTTTTTGAGATAAAGTCTCATATTGTCGAGTCTGGTCTCAAATTCCTGGTAATCTTCTGTCCCTCCTTTCCTCTTCCTTTTTCTCATCCCCTCATTTCTAGAGCTGAGGGTTATACAAGTATGTTCACTTTGGATTTTTTCCCTTCTTATTCTGTAGGTTCACTTTGTAAAGTTCATCAAGCTGTGTGTGTGTGTGTGTGTGTGTGTGTGTGTGTGTGTGTGTGCAGGTGACAGCACCACTGAGTTAAATCCCCAGCCCAAAAGGTAAATTTTTTTTTTGTCAAGCTATATTTTGATTTATGTACTTTTCTTTTTCTTTCTTTCTTTCTTTCTTTCTTTCTTTCTTTCTTTCTTTCTTTCTTTCTTTCTTTCCTTTCTCTCTCTCTCTCTCTCTCTCTCTCTCTCTCTCTCT